TTTTTTTTACAAAACTAATTTTAATAAAATTTACACACACGTATATAGATAATGTCACATTAGTATTGGATGGTGTGTTATATTTTAAAATCATTGACCCATACAAGGTATTAATTAATTGATTGGGTCGGTTGGTTGATAACTCGGATAATAAAAGATCATTAATTCACATTTATTATAATCATTGTTGTGATTTACAGGCGTCTTATGGTGTAGAAGATGCTGAATACGCTATTGCACAACTTGCTCAAACAACAATGCGTGCAGAAATTGGGCAAATGACATTGGATAGGACATTGGCGGAACGTGCACATTTGAATGCAAATATTGTTGACGCAATTAATAGTGCAGCAGATGCATGGGGTATTCGTTGCCTAAGATACGAAATTCGTAAGTTCAGAAATAAGTTATATTAATGTATTTATAAATATGACAACTGTCATGTTTTTGATTTATTTATTTTCTTGAAACTATTTTTTCATTTTCTTGTAAATAGGTGATATTCATCCACCTGCAAAAGTCGTAGAGTCTATGCATTCACAAGTTTCTGCAGAAAGATCAAAAAGAGCATCAATTTTGGAATCAGAAGGTATGCATACACATACACATACAAATAATTCGTATAACGTAATTCATTCCATATCATTTTAATAGAAATTTAATAATAATAATAATAATAGTGATATTGATAATATATATACCTTAGGTCAAAGGCAGGCTGCTATTAATGTTGCTGAAGGTTCAAAACAATCTGTTATTCTGGCATCAGAAGCTCAAAAATCTGAACAGATAAACAGAGCAATTGGTAAAAAGAAAATTTTTTTACTGGTGTAAAAATTGCAATTGGAAATGCTATTAATTATATATCTATTTTTGGATGAATAATAATAATAGGTGAGGCTGAGGCAATTCTTCTTAGAGCAAAGGCTACCGCAGAAGGAATTCGTCAGATTTCAAATGCTATAAATGAAAGTAGTCGTGGAACTGACGCTGTTACTTTGACTGTTGCAGAAAGATACGTTGATGCATTTGCACAACTTGCAAAAAAAGGAAATACAATTATAGTGCCCGCTTCTGCTGGTGATGCAGGCTCGATGATTGCTCAGGTATTTATGATTATTTATATTTTTAAAGTAAATATAATTTTAACAAAGCCTTGAGTAATTTATTAATTATTCATTTCTTCGAAAAAAAGGCATTATCTATTTTTCAAACTGTATCAAAATCACATAATTACCAGCAACTACCTACAACATTAACCTCACCATCACCACCTGAAGAGATTAATCCATCAGCTAATGAATGAATGAATTTATTATTATATATTTCTGATAGAAAATAATAAAATTTTTTTTTATTTTTTGCTATCGTCATATCTAAATTGGCAGTAAAATAAAGGAATACATTTTCGATATATATATAAAAAAAAAATCC